TTTTGTTCGTCTGTAGGAATGTATCATTGGAAAATATTGAATCACAACAAGAAACTTCAACGAGAAATTAAAACTTACTTGAAATCTTACGAAATTCTTTACAATTCCAGTGTGTAATTATTTTTCTAAATAAAAATATTTCCGCAGATCAAGAAAAAGCAAAAGGTATTAAATGCGAGGATGTCATATTGATTCACGGGAGAAAAGGCAATTTAACCCTTTTTACCAGCCGGTAAACTAACCAGTAGAATAAAGCAATTAATTGTACAATATGTCAATTTCAAGGTTGAATTGAATCAAAGTTGCACCAACGTGGAACAATACGATGGATACAATACGTGGAAAATCCATGGCCCATTGGTGGCAAACAACATGAAAACAGTACAATTACTTTTTTACACTGTTGTTTTATAACAAACATATTTTTAGCAATTATATTGAGTATTCATTGTCATACGATTAAATTTATTTTTCTGGAGTATTGTTTAATGTGAAAAGGTAGAAGACAGTTGTGTTGTGGTTGAATGCATAAATGTAGTTCACCTTTAGAACATGTCCATTACGTTTTCAACTGGCATTTTTCTTATTTATACCGTAATCTTGTTTTGTATAAATTTATAATTGTACAAATTCAAATATATTACATTTTCATATCGTTCGCGACCAATGAGTCATCCATGACCCATTCACTTTTACAAGATTTGAGAAAAATTCGTACGTCATAAAAAAGACCGTTCTATTTTGCTTGGAAAGGCAACACTCTACTGAACATTAATCGACAATAACATCTTTCTGAATCGTTCTTGCACAAAAAATAAAACCCGAAAAAAAGTTTTTCAGTTGTTTAAGTTTTCTGATTTTGTGATGTAAATGTCGTCGACGAAAATTGATAGAAAGGAAAATCTTTTTTTATCAATCGATAACTTATGGAACTATCTTGCTCTCAAAAGCAAACCATTTTTTATCATATGCTTCATTATCTTTTTATATATATACAAATGGATCATGGGTGACCCCCTCGGTAGGTAAAGGGTTAATTGACCATTATCGTATTACAGATGATCTATCTGTACAGTTAATCAAATTAGATCAAAATAAACGACATCTTGATTGTGCTTAATATAAGAGCCCATACAAATATGATATTCAAAATCTAAATTAAAAATGGAGTTGACATATATTCCACGTTGTTCAGTTTTCGCCCTCAGGAAAAAGAAATTCTTTTGAAATCAGTTTTTCTGATCTTATTTTTATTTTAATTGTGCAGTTTAGATAGTTTAGACCCGAGAAAGATGAGATTTGTGATTGACGTAAAAGTTTGCATCTACTATATGTGCTTTTGGAAAAATCTGAGAAAAGGGGATCAGGTTCACATATCCTGAGAAGATGCTACAGGTGTGACAAACCTTATGAGGCAGTTTCGAAATATTAAGTGGAAGAAACGATCCACTCTAACACGTTTTCAGTCGAAAAAAATCAATCTCATTGGGCGAAGTTTTCTGGCTAACGCGCCCTTGTCCTCTAGCTGATTATATACGCAACAAAAGTAACTGGTTTTCTTCATTCTTGTTCTGTTGAGTATGTTTCTTGAGCAACGAATCAGATATGCACATGAATAAGTGAGAGAAGACAGCGTGTCTTCTTCTTGCATATGTGGTTATGGAAGCTGTTCCCATTTCGCTTCTACTTGTACTTATTTATATATATTCCTTGTTGTATATTAAACTGTTTTCTTTTTCCGCATTGAACAGATATGGCAACGCTCTAATTTCTACAAAAGCATTTTCTCCAAACAAAATATTTAACATTTTTTGTTTATTGAAAACATTATTATCGATTTCGAAGATCAGCCAAACAAACACTGTTTTTGTTACATAACATACAGAAAAAAGAGAAAAAGAAATCAGACAGCTGTTGACGAAAGAGCTTCGATTGTATTCACCACCTCTTCGTCCTAAACAACGATTAAAATAGAAATGGATTAACGTACTGGAATCAGTCAAGTATTTAAAGACGAATTTTTATATTTTTGTTTAGGAGACAGCGGAGTTTTTTGAACTACTGGATGATGACGTCTTCCCTTCCCCAGTGTTCAGGCATGCGCAGATTTTAGAAAAGGTCGGAAATATACTGTTGTGAAATTGAGATAGAAAAATATATTTCAATACATGAACTGTTGAATGACATGGAAATTTTTGTTTCAACTACTACTTGGAGAACATTTAGCCAAAAATTAGTCCATAAAGGCACGGGAGTAAGGTGAAATTCTTCTGGTTTTAGTTCTAGTGAACTTGGAAGCAAGAACCATTCAGATTGTTAGCTAACTATTACAAAAAAACAATGAATGATGCTTGCTGTTCCTCCTTATCATTCTTTCCGTTTTTCCGCTACAGTAATAGCAAAACGCGGTGGATCAAAAGTAAACTTGTGGGATGGGTTTAGTTATTACCCATAGCACAAAGCATGTCGATTTTACATGCGCATGAGTAAGTCCTGCTTAATAGGCTCATATCGACCAATAGAACAAACCTATTGTTTATTGCAGCAATCAGTCATCACCATACATACAAGCATAAAAAAATCGGCAGGCTCTTACTGTGTTATTTCCTTTTGGCTCCAAATAGCAGCTGCACGGAGAGACTGTCTACATCAATTCGCGTTAATTCTGGCTCCTTGAAGCGAACTAAACAGGAAACAACTCCACCAAACGCTCTTGTTGATACATCTCTGTCTGTGCGTTTTGAGTCAGTAAGGGTGGTGGAAGATCTGTCCAATTATATACGAAGAGAGATCTATTCATTTATGCAGTTACTGAACGATTCAATTTATAGTTTTGACTGTTCAGCAGCTTAAAGATATGGCAATAGTTAGTGTCCATACTTTCAGAAATGAAAATAGTCATTCTACTGTTGGAAGACAAATATTGAACCTCTGAACGATAATATTGAACACGGTGTTCACTGATATGGAGGCATCAGTAAGCCCCCAATGTAAAACATTGTTCAAGGTTATTTTGCATTGATCGACGGCGGACGCCGTATGTGTTCAAGGGTATTTCATAACAACTGTCATGTTCTATTCACGAATGAACATGATGTGTTTGCGATCTTCGTTATCAGTTTTTCTTTGCATGTAAAAAAACCCAAGAACATTTTTACTACCTTCTTGTTCATCTTGAAAAGTTCTTTTTTGCATGTTCACAACCTTCATTCAAAGGTCATTAGAGGTCGAAGCAAGGTTGTTCGATATAGAAAGATTAAGAGGAAAAACTGGTAAATTGATTTAAAATTAAAATCAATTATGATAAATTCCTTTGTAACATATTACTCACATGACATAATCATAGCTCCTTCGTCTGCCTCATTGTCTTCTACTCAGTATTACCATCATTTTTTAGATTATGACGTTCGTTCATTCGTTAGCTTTTTGAGAACAAAATGTTCATTGTTTCTGAATAGAAATATTTTTTCGTGTGTGATTTCAACAGATTAGGAGGTTTATTGAAAGTGACTGTATCTTTTCAGAAGCTAATCCAGAATTTTTTTATTAAAGTATTTGTAAAAGACAAAATTTTGTAGGATACTGTCTGTCTAAATCTGCCTCTTCTAGGCTTTCATGTGTTTTCTAGACATACAATGTTGGCTTTAGAAAGATTATCATCAACAATAAATTTACTCAATATTATTTCGAAACCGAGTAATAAATTCAGCGTTAATCTGTGATATGACTCTATTAATTAGTGTTTCTTTCGTTGCAGTCTTTACACAATCATTACGAACGAAAAAGACGAGACCACATCTTCAACTTCCAAAGTATCGTGAAATGAAAGTTGAAGATGGGCAATGGGTGGAGAAAAATGATATATTAATTTTACAAAACAACTTGAATTTATATCCAGGAGAAAATGTATGTAAACATTTAATTTTGTCAAAACAGAAAAACAGGTGAAATCTAGGACGAGAAAGCGGAAATGAAGGGTTACTTTCACTTTTTAACCTTCAAAAAGAAAGTAACAGGAAAATAATTTTCTGAATTTTTTGTTTCTTTGAAGAGAGATTTTGAAATGATTCAGTACTATTGCTGTTAATTAATGAATTTTCTTTTCTAGACTGTTATTGAATACGATTATACTGTGAAAGCAGCGATACCTGGTTTTACTGTTGTAAGTACAGAAGTTGTCAAACCATATCCACATAGTCCACTTTATCGCTATGTGGCAAGTGGTAATACTGTCAAAAGAAACTTTATCCATGTCATACCACCAAAACGAGAAGCTAAATTTAAATTAATTGAAGAATTGTGATGCAGAAAAAAAATATGAAACGTCGATTTTCTAAGAGAGATCGAAAAAGATGATGAATGGTAGGATTTAAATATCTAGTCGTTGTCAATTGTCATAATGTCTTGTCTTTCGTTTTGTGAAAATCAGTTCAATATTGTTGCTTTGTATTTATTGTTGTGCTTTTTTTGCGTTTATATTTTATATTGTGTTTAATGTTTTTTTCATAGGAAAGGACTGCCTATTTAATCTGTTCCTGCACTGAACTGTCACTTCAGACGAACAACTTTTACCTAGCTTGCACCGTAAAAGTGAATCCAAACATATTCGTGTCTGTATCTGGTGTAGACGAAAATATTACATTCATTCACTTTGTAGATCTAGTTTTTATAGTACTAGTGGTTAAAGCTAGTTTTTTCGTTTATCTTCTCTGGTCAGATGCTCTTAATCGAACTTGGAGCTATTCAATAATGAACTAAAGCTATATTCAGACTAAGCACACAGCTTCTTTCCGTTGATACTTGTTGCTTATTGTTTTCATTTTTGCTTAATTTGCTCAATTTTTGTCTGTCGATGTCTGTATTGTTTTTTCAGATCATCCGTTCATTTTATTTGAGTATTACATTTATTTTTAGTAGAGGAGACATTCGGTTTTAATGTAACCGTTTGTTTATGTATCAATACAATTAATTATATTTTGTGTTTTTTATCATATTTGTATACATTGTCCGGTTATGAAATGAACTAAGACAATCGAGATATTATTCAAATTCATACAGAACAGTACAACAAATAAATATTGTTGGTGGTTAATGCATAACAGTGAATATTTTTTTATAACAACTATTCATATTACAGTATTTCGATTTCCAACATAAGGAAATAACGTTTATTTATTATTCAATGACAGTCGTTCAAACACGTGATCGATGTCGAATTTGTTTTTCATTATTAAAAGATCCATATTTTCATCGTTCTAGTTCATTATTTCGTTCATCAATTTGTTGTCAAAAACATTATCATATTTATAAATATTTTAAACGTAACAGTGCAACAAATACAACACCTAATTCATCACCATCAACATTAGTATGTTTTCGTGATTTAATTGTACGATATTTGCGTACAAATTTACCGCGTACAGCTGTCGATGATCCAAATCAATCACATTGGATATGTTCAGATTGTTCTCGTACGCTATTAGATATTGAACATTGTGGAAAATATATACGTCAACAAATAAATGACTTAAAAACAAAATTAAAAAAGTCAAACCGTCTATTAACGTCATCCATATCGGTTACATTTCAGCAAAAACAACAGCAAACGAAAATTAATAGTGTCCAACGTCAACGGAAACAAGAAAGCAGCAATAGTAAACCGAATACGACAGCAGATGATGACACAAAAATCGAAAGTAGTTATTTGAATACAAATCATTGTAATGAAATTGAAGATGAGGAAGAAGAAGATGACGAAGATATCGAAGATGAAATCGATGAAGGCGGTAAACACAAAACTTCGTGTGTTTTTTTGTTATTGAATTAACAGAATCTATAGTATATACTTTCTATATTGAATTTAGTGGTACATTGGATATTTTGTTCCTTTGTTTTCTTCGTTTCGAACACTCAGGTTGAGAGATAGTTACCAAAACCTCTATATCCTTTATATTATCTAGATCAAAGCGGACATAAAGGGATTAAAATGTAGTGGAGTTACTGAACCAGTCAGTATGCAGAACTAAGCATTGTGAATTAAGATGTAGAATTTAGTCTTAACGCATTCTGTTATCGCAGTTTTCTTTTATTTAATGTTCATTCATCATTTTGTTTTAGACTTGGAAGACGAAGAAGAAAGTAATAAATATGTTGAACGACCAAGATCGCTGTTATATAACAGTCATGTTGACGAAAGAATAATTAGTTCATTGGACTTGTCACCCACTTCATCATTATCATCATCGACAACAACGTCTTCATCACATTGTAAAACAAATTGCAATTGTAAAGAACCAATAGTTTTACGCGAAAAACAACAACGCAATATTCTTCGAATAGAAACTCCTCCTCCAACTGCAGGTGGACTTGTCAATAACAATGGGTCAACATTTTCATCTTCCGAGCCAGCACGTCTTTTAACAATTGCATCAACACCATCCACTAACATAAGAGATGAAATTGGTGGTAATACAATGAATTTATTGGATGAAACAAATGTTAGCAGTGATGACGCGACTACTATTTTCAATAACAATCGTTTATCATCTATTCGTTTAGCGCAGATGATGAGTGATAGCATGTATCAAAGAAATGATGCAACACCTGATGAATCACTATTAACGAATTTACCAGCTTCGTTTCTGGCAAATATACAAAGAAATATATTATTCAAAATTCTTATGGGTCCATTTGCCACAACTTTTGCGGCACAATGCTATGAACAACAACAACAGCAAACTTCATCTTTATCACATCAAAATATTGCAACAAATGTAGCAATATCACCAACCATTACGGAAGATTTAGATCATGGCAATGCTTCATCGTTATCTACATCTACAGTAACAACTTTAAACATAGTCGATAATTCTCTGAATGGCGCTCAGCAAGTGTTTGAACAAAAACTACGGCAAGGGCGAAAACGAAAATCACATCCGATCAAAAATCAGAAATTTTTGGACGCGACAGATAATAATACGAAAGGTTTGAACAACAATAACCTTCAACACCACGGAAGCAACTCAGGCAATGTAAGTTGCAACATTACCACCTTCTGCCAAACAGTCGTCTTATCTTCCTAATGTGTCTAGACAGCTCTAGTTATCTTTTTTATAGTATCAAAGAAATAATCATTTACGGCTCACATAGCAGACATAGTGCAAAATGAGACGTTGTATAGTGAAAGGAACGTCAGTTTTATTGAAGACGTAAACTTATACAACTTATACTAGATACTATTCTTAGCTTTTTAATAATTTGCGTACACTTTTTTAGATATCACCTATGGATGAGGCACATTATCAACAACAGAACCAAACTGACTTACGCTCAAGGCCACATTCAGCTGAAACAATAACAAGTGTTACCCCAATAACACTTAACGTGGCAGCTACTATGACTGATAATAATAGTGATGAAACTGGAAACAAATCGCATAAGGATGATACGTCACCTCAACGAACAGCAATAATAACACCAACCGAACGAGTTCAGTTGCAACATCAAACAGTTTCATTAAGTTCAATAATGAACATGACGCATAATAATCACGATAAACCGGTTGAATTAACAGTAAAAAATAACCATTCAACTATTCAACAAGTAACACCATCGCAATCAAAATCTTTCATGTCGACTGATGTGCATAATTTAGTCGTAAGTTATTATTTATATTAGAATCCAATGCTAGGAAATCACTGTATTTTTTCTTCGACTTTAGATGAAATCATTATCCGAAAATAATGTTAATAAATTTCTCGGTTTTACGATTCCAAATAAGGATACAGAGCATGGTGAAGGTAAAAGTTTGATATGAATTATCAAAAGTATCTTTCTTATTCATTTTTTCGTTTTTGTAGATCTAAGTGATAAAACATCGAATGATTCTTCTGGAAAACTTCTGTCAGCCGCATCTTCACCATCGTTATCTCGACGTCCATCTAAACGACCTCGACAATCATCATCTAGTCGAAGTATTAGTGCATCGAATAAAAACAATCGTATAAATTATACGAATAGTATTGAACCTGGAGCAGTGTTTGTCGAAACGTTGACGACAACAAATGCCCATATCAAGAATGAAAAACATCGACATTCATTACAAAATGAAAGTTTGTCCCCGAATAACCATGATAATACTAGTGCAACTAATCGTCCACAACGTAAACTCGATCCTCGAACCTGTGCTGAATGTGGGAAAGTATTATTTAATGATAAACAACATCTTTTACATTGTCAGAGTCATGCAAAAAACGATAAACAATGTTGGATATGCGGCTCAATAGACGATGATATGAAAAAACATATTTCTACTATACATGGAAATCAAAAGTTTACAAGTGTTGGTTTTCAAGTAAGATCACTCAATACTTGTTTTTCTTTTACCCTTAGGCTTTTGTCTCACGAGATTATTTAATTAATCAAACTTTTTCCTTCCACATTAATGAAGCTCCAATTAAAAATACAAAAAAATGACCACTTTTTTTAAAAAGATAATTTTAAATTATTATATATGTTTCTTTTTATAGTGTCAACATTGTGATAAAGTATTTCCAGTATTTGCTGATCTCGATTTACATTTGCGGGAACATAGTAAGAAAAAGGTAATTTACCACTAGCAAGACATATGGAACCATCGTACATGTTATTGTTTTCAATATTATTTATAGCCATTCGAATGTCCAATCTGTTCGAAACGGTTTGGACAACAAGGAAATTTAAGTTGCCATTTACGGTAAGTTAATATCAGTACTTTTAAGGACGACTGTTGATATAACCGTCTTTTCTATCTAGAATTCACACTGGTGTCAAACCATTTAATTGTAATAGTTGTGGAAAAGCATTTCGTCACTCGAACAGTCTTCGACGTCATTCGCGTACGGTCCATTCAGCAACACGTGGTTTATCAATTAGTACATCACCATTACTTGTTTCATCTTCGTCTGTTAACCCAATAACTACATCGCCTCATCACACCACTTCGCTATTGAATAGACGTCACAGTAGCAGTAGTAATAAGAATACAAATATTCTTGAATTGTCGCATCGCCGATTATCAACGGGTCTCAATGTTTATTCACCACCTCCGTTACCGTCTGATCCCATGTCTGATGTTGATACAACATCATCTTCAACCGGTATGGCTTCACCAGGCCTGCTTGATTCATCATCATCCTCTGTACGAAATACAAATGAGAAAAGTGATGTTGTGGGATGCACAAACTAAGAGCTTTTTTCGTCATTTTCTTCTTTCTAAGAGTGCATTATAAACATGAAATGAACACAATATAAATCTTCTTCAATATGTTTTATATTGTCTCTTTCGGATCTATGTTGTCTTTCTTAACATAACAAATAAGATCGAATGCAATACGAAAAGAATATAACAGGTGTGTTTACTTGTTTTTTTCCTCTGTGGTCGGGAGTGTTTGTTTTTCTTTCATTGATTTCAGTTTTTCTCTTTCTACGATTTTTCTTCTCAACACACACGCACACACATACATATACACACAGAATAGATGAAACTCTCTTGCTCAACTAGTTCGTCCCTCTCCCTCTTTCTTACTTTTGCTTAAACAGTAGTGTACATGAATTCGGAGAACAGTATTTTTTGTCAATAATCATCATCGGATGTAATTTGAATGGTTTCGATTGTTTTTTTTGTATTGGTGTCATTCTCTATTTTTTTTATGCAAGTTTTTTCTCTTATTCACTTGTAAAGAAAAAAACACTTCAACAAAACGGTGCGAAAGGACTTATGAACAGTGATTCTGTTTTTTTTCTTTTGATTGAAAGAGAAAAGCTAGAATGTTTGTATTTTGTTTAACCAGTATTTTGTTGAAAGCGATTGATCATATTTATTTTTTCAGGCTTAAGCAAGAAATGAAAGTGTATTTGTTTTAACTGTATCTGTTCTCTAAGTCAGTAGCGATTGTTTCTTGTTTAATTGCCGGTGACAACACAGGAACAGCATAAAGACAGATACTATATGTTTTAGCATGTGAAAACATGTAGTAAATATCTTTAGAGTACGAAATCGATAATAACTTTTTTCATCCTGCTCCATCGTGTTATGTGAAAGTGTGCTTTTGTGGTGCTTATACTTTATAAAATAATGGTGCTGTTGGTACATCCTAATCACAGATGCCATTTTTCTAAATCCATCATCTTAATCTGTAAATAATTGATAAATGGAAAGAACCTGAAGCACTATGAATAACATTCTCGATATCCGGTGTATGGTACTTGCTATCAGGAAATATATCAAATCCCTTTCCATTTCCCACCTAATTCCCGGTTATTTCTTTTCTTTCGGCTCGCTGAATTCTTGTTTTTGGAAGAAATCTATTATTTTTAAAATCTGGATATGAAATTCGATGATTGATTGATTGATTGATATTTTTTCTCTTCTTCTACTATTATCTAGTCTCGAAAAGTGATTGTTTCTTTTGGTCGTAAATAGTTTTTTTATTTTTGGAAAGAAAAAAGAACATGTAAGAACTGTACGTTGTTTGTTTGTTTGTTTATTTGCTTTTTTTCCCATGTACTATGCAACAATTATTGGTTTCTGGCTTTTTTTTGTACTGTTTTTGTTTTCGAACTCTATTCGAATTAAGTTGCTTGTGTGTGAAAAGAAGAAATGGATATAGTCATTCGTAATTTCGATTCTGAACTGAAATTTCGTCTTTTTTTTTGTTCGCTTTTATCTCTGAACTTGGTTAGTTGCTACTATAACCTATATATCATAATCATATTATTCTTATTATTGATGTTCTTTAGCATACACATGAACGTTTTTGTTTGGTTGTTTGTTTGTTTTTTAAAATTTCTTGTTCTTTTCTTCCGAACCCTATATTCTCTTCGCTCTTATTATTGTAATCGGTTATCACTATATCTCTTTGTTTCTTGGATAAAATGAAATCATCTATATATTTCTCTCGATTTTTACGTTTAAGTTTATTTTGCTTTTTTGCTTTTTACAAAAGCTATTTGAGAATATTTACGTGAAATTGTGTTTCGTTTTTTTTCTTTGTTTTCTTTCTTCGAAATAAATAAATGAAAAAAAGGGTAAAAAGTTGTTTTTAAGTTAAAAATCTGTGCATCGAGTGAAGAAGTTAATGGAATTACGATGAGTAAAGATGTTAGCTGCGCTGCCCCTGTAACTGAAATGTTATACAATGGCATCACCGACCAAGTAATCGGGTGCCTCTGGTTATAAGTATATAGTTATAGTGATAATAAAAATATTCGGTATTCCAAGAAAAGTTTGACCGAGAACTTTTATCTTGGATTGATACTGGTAGAGGCAACTGGTATAAAGTTAGTATTTTTACGCTAGCTGCGGTGAAAGAAAAACTTCAGGATCCGTTCAAAAGTTGCTGCCAAGTGAACAAATGTGCTAAGGTCAAATATGGTCGACTAAAAATTCTCGACTTCAGATACTTTTTTCTTGTAACAAACCGCCTATTAGCTCAAGTATTTATCAACCCTTTCAACCGAAAAGATTTTATCAGAAAAGGAAGAAAAAAGTTGAAGAAGCGCCAGTTTAGTCAGATATAGGCGACATCTCGTCGAAGAAACTGATTGAACAACTCATTTAGTTCTAATACCTTTTTTTCTCTTTCTCCTGAACAGCAGCGACTATTTTTGGCAGGAGTTACTAGGAGGCAGCTTCTTTCAACGCACTAACAGTGGCTTAGAGCGCTTCTGCACTACTCAAAAGTCAATTAGTCACACACAGGATCAAATCTATAGCGTGGTATTTGTGGTGGCTCCATCTATCAGCATATTATCTATGGTGGCAGCTGTCTTTAACCGTTTGTTTTGTGATAAACGAGGATCGTTTAGATTCACGTCTATTCGATGTTTAATGAGTTAGTTGTTAAAATGTATTATTATTGTTCCTATTCTCCGTTAATACCATTTGGCTAAATAGAATAGAATAATACCCAGTCTCTATTTTATTTTTCGTCTTTTCATTCTCTATGTTCAACAGTAAAAAAAAAAAATAAAAATTTCTGGCTGTCTCACTATTTGGCAAGAACATCATGCCTTTTTACACGAAGAGATATGTAGATAATGAAGAGAAAATATAATTCTTTTTTTCTGTTTCTATTACGGAGAGTACAGTAAGTATTTATAACAATTGTATATGACTGACATCCAAATTGTTTTTTTCTTTTAATGTCGAATGGACGTCTAACACACGCACATACACATATGCAAGAAAAATGATTTTTAATCACTATCAGATACTAGACTGAGTTCAGAGTACAGACTAGTCGTTACTGACTCAAAATGTCGTATTCATATGATGTTCTAGATGCTATTTAATTATTTATTTATATTCAAAATTTTCCATGTAAAAAAAGTCATTAAAATAACTTTGATAGAATGATTTGAGTGAATTTAGTTGCAGTACGTTGGAAATTAGATAGTTTATAATTTTTATTATTATTGTATATGATAATAAACATTGAGATTAATGTACAAGTTTGCTTATTGTAACGACATATTTTAGTTAATTCAGTTTGATCTATACTGTTGTTTCTTTTAGAAAATATATAATCTGTTCATTTTAAAAGTTTTCTATTAAAATATCTATATTTGTTTCAGAAGTTTTTGTTGTCATAATTACTATGTATTTTGACGCTAACAAATTGCAGATGGAAACGACATAATAGAATGGATAAAACAAGCTAGTCAATAATTATGTAAATGTAACTTTGAATAACAACGGATTTTGGCATTTATATCGTCCATTATCTCGTATACATGTACAAGTAGAATGTAGGTCTGTTTACAAGTGTTGAATTTTGGATACTATTCAACATAGTAATTTTATACCACTCAAAATTATCATCATAACATATTTATGATTCTTTTTGTTTTCATAGAAACGATGGTGTACAAAATGATTTGACATACCTGTTGTGAATCTTGAAGTTCCTTGAAACGAATGGGTATGTGATTATTTTGTTTTGTTCTAGCACAATAATAAATCTAGTTCAATTTTTGGTCTTCTTTTATAGCAGTTATCAATTGATCAAAGTGTAAGTTTGTTTATGCGTGTGTAAAATACAAATAATTTCTTATATTATTATGCGCTTACATAATTGATACATGAACAAAGAGATCGTCATACAAGAAAAATCATATCAAGCAGGTTAAATATATTCAGGTTTTTATGTAGAGATATTTGAATCTTATATTCCCTCATCTAGCCGTCTTTTTTTTGTTTATCTTTTCTATTATAGGCTTTCGTCTTCAGTGAGGACGCGACATACACACATACATATACTAGAGTTCAGTTTCTCGGTTAAACAAATGTGAGCAGAACGTTATATCTACAGTGGCAGCAGCAATATTGAGAGAAGATTTGAGTGAATACATGATAATATTAGTTCCGATGATCAGTTGTCAGTGAATATTTATTAATAAGACGTTCAAACACCTACAGTATCCAAAAATGAATCACTAAGTGTGAGAAGAGCGAAGGATACACCAGACAACATATCTGTTTTTTTAACGTATTAGTCGATTGATTATTTAACGTTTTTTATTTGTTAATCGTCATTCAACTAAACAACACATTAGATGTTTGATTCTCAGTGTTTAATAAAAAAAAATATGAAAGATTTGAGCGTATTGAGATATGGATTTTTTTCTTACTTTTTCTACTAAGATATTGAACATCTGATCGTCGGCTTAATCAGCTAACCGAAGTGTAATTCGGTCATAATTTCTTTATATTTTATTCTTCTTATAGTTTTCGAACGACGAGACGCCCAGAGCTCTCGAGCATCTCTAATTAAAGGAAAAAGTGTATTGAACATGTTACAGTACTCTACACGATCTATTTTTCAGCGGCAGCTGTGACAAAAATATGAACATCTATATTATCAGCTAAGTTTTGAAAAGTGGATGTTCGTATTTTTGTCGAACGATAGATTGTGCAGAGTACTGAAACATGTTCGACACACTTTTTCTTTAATTTGAGATGTTCGAGAGTGCTGAGCGTCTCGTCGTTCAACAACTATAAAAAGAAAAAATGTAAAGAAATCGTGATGGAATTGCACTTCGGTAGCAGAGGTAGTTGAGCAAGTCGTCATACTATCCACTATTTCCTCTCTTTTTGTGAGAGGACGATAATTTCTAGACTGTCTCTCTTTTTGTACATAAAAATTCTGTAATACCAGAATAATAAAAGAAGATAGCGGATAATAATTTTAAATAGTTCTGTTCACCAAATTTTAACAGAGGTAACTACTACCATCTCGAAGATGTTGTTACAGACTTTTTCAGGTATATTTTATACTCAGTTTTCACCAGTTAATAAACGTATGATGTTCAATGTCTAGTAGAATTTTTTATTTGAGCATGATTATTCTTGTTGTTGTTTTTTTGCAGTGCAGAAGGTAGGCAGAAGCTTTGATTATTTTTGGTCGTCGTATACTTGAGTGTTAATTTCTTGAGGATAGTCAGTGTAAACTGATCTTCTTGAGACGGACGCTAAATCTCTCTAGGCTGATTCTTATCTATCAAATTGTTTTTCGTATATTTTGTAGACGTAATCTCTCTTGAACAGAACGAACATCTACATAACCATTTTTTTAATTCGATACTGGTTTTTGTGTTAAAAACTTATTTTTATTATCTTAATCATTAAACTGAATGGCTGAGACAGCAATTAGTCCTCTGTTACAACAACAGCCATTATCAAATGGGAGTTCATTGATGCCTAATTTACAACAACAGCCACAAAATAACGGCTTTGGTGATATAAGTTCAGTTAATACTACAAATAATAATGTTAACAATAGTACGCCAGTTAATTCACAACAAATCGCAACAGAATCAAAACAATCAGATTCGATTAATCAAATGAACTCATCCAATATTAACGTTAATAATTTAGAACCAGAACAATTTCGTAAAGTATTTATTGGTAGTTTATCATATCGTATGGAAGATTCAGCGTTCAGAGAATATTTTGCCAAATATGGTGATGTATTAGATTGTATAATTATGCGTGATCGTGATGGTCGTAGTCGCGGTAAGTTCTGCTATGTATTTCTACGTTTTACACTGTAGCAATGTACCAGTAAAACTGGACTGCCGTGAATGATTCAACGTTTAACCTTTTTTCTCATTTATAGGATTTGGCTTTGTTACGTACTCTCAATCGTCGATGGTCGATAATTTAATGCGTCATCGTCCACATGTGTTAGACAGTCGTGAAATTGAGCCAAAACGAGCTGTACCACGAGAAGAAAGTTCCAAGCCCGAAATGCAAACAACAGCAAAAAAATTGTATTTAGGAGGCGTACGTGAACCATTACAAGAACAAGATTTAAAAGAATATTTTTCGAAATATGGAAATATCGTCGACTGTGTAGTGATGAAAGACAAAGATGGTAAGTATAGGAAGATGACGCTCCTTTGCTGTGATTAAAGGTAACCACATTCATTTAAGGCAAACATCGTGGTTTCGGATTCGTTGAATTTGATGATTACGTGAGTATCTGTCAAAAATTGAATTAATTATTGTTAAGTGAGTTTGTTTCATTATATAGGACCCTGTTGATAAAATTGTTTTGGAAAAACATCATGTTATCTCCGGAAGACCATTAGATGTACAAAAAGCGTTACCGAAAGATCAATCAGGCAGAAATAATCCACGTGGTGGTGGTGGTGGTGGTGGTGGAGGATATGGTGGAAATAGACGTGGCAATATGGGTGGAAATCAAGGCCCAAATCGTGGAAATATGGGCGGTGGTAATCAAGGAGATTATGGAGCAAATATGGGTGGTGGAGGTGGCTTTACGAATTTTGGAGGTAAGAGTTATTTTTCTGTTTGTATTTTAGATACTAATTATTTGGTTTTCTACCTAGGCTCGAATATGGGCGGTAACGATGCGTTTGGAGCGTTTGGTCCTCAAGGAGGCAATAATTTTGGTGGTCCACCACAACAAGGCGGTTTTGGACAGGGATATGGACAAGGTCAGGGAGGTGGTCCAATGAGGGGACGAGGAGGTCCGAGAGGAGGTCAGTTGACGTTCATCATTGTAACTTTTAGCTAGGTATATTTATGGTTATTCTTTATTTTTTTTAGGCGGTGGACCGTATGGAGGCGGAAATAGGTAATTAAGTTTGAATTTCTTTGACTGAATAGATGCGAGTTGATCGACGTTTCATTAGTTCGAATGATCTTGTTTTTCTTGCCAAATAACACTGTTATTCTTCTCCAGAGATGAGTCATTTTAACCGTTATTATTTTTTTCTTCTTCTAGAGGCGGTGGTAGAGGGGGTCAAGGTCGAGGTGGTGGTGGTGGACGAGGCGGAGGACGTGGAGGATTATAATTTCTTCTGAATAATACTCGATAGAATTTTAAACTTGAACATTTTTTTGTTAACCAATTGTAAATGTATGTGGATGGTTGTTGTCGCTTTTTTGTACCTCCTACTGTTCAAATATGAATTTGATCACGTTTTCTTGATCCTGCATCCAAAACAATGAAACTCAATTATTAAGATCTTCATATTTCACTCTGTGTAAAAGACTGCTTTTTAGAAACTATTGTTGCTATTGTATCTTATTCTTGTTAAATTTTGTTTTGCTTAAAAAAAAAGTACTTTATTGTTTTTTCTTCTTTCGAGAACAAAACATTATTTGTAAAAGACTTTGTTCTTGTATGTTACTATGACCTACTTACGTGTATATTTTATATACATTGTATTTGTGTGTTCGTATTTCTTATATGTCTTGTTTATTGGCGTAGATTGACCATAAAGAATATGGATAAAATAAATGAGCAGATATCATTAAAAAACATGGTTTATTTTCTCAGAAAAATCAAAATTAAGAACTGTGTGTTAATATTCATCGATGAATTCTCTCTCCCTTTGATGAACAGGAGTATTCAACGATCAATAGTATTTTGTATAAATCATGAATGTGACAAGAATCTGATAATGTTTATCATTAATACTCTTGCGTCCAGCATGCCGTATTATTTTTGTAGCTTATAATAAAATACACGATATTTCACTCAAAATAATCGAAGATTTTTGAATCAATCTTTTTAGTGGACAACTGAATAGTATTATTCATCCCTTTAAAGCTCTATAAATTCAACAATTATTTTACTTCTGTAGATAAGTCAAAAAATGACAACAAATACGAAAAACAACGTGAGTACAAAGACATCATCGTTACCACCAACAAATATAACAAAATTGAATGAACTGATTCGTCTGTTGATAAATCATGCAGCAGATAATCATTCTTATCGTACATTTTTATCCGAAATACAAAAATTATTAACACCTTCATCCTCAAATTCATTACCGATTTATTCTAGTCCATTCTCTCATTTTCAATTACTAGAATCAATATCTACTATTAAAATCGTTCTAACATTACCAATATCTCAGCCATCATCTGAATTATATCATCATTCACTCGGATATTATCTGTTACTCTTATCATTACATACCCATAAATTATTTGTTGAACAAATATTAAAAGATGTTCACAAATTGAAAAAACATATTGAATATTGGAAACATAATCAAAAAACTCCAATATCTTCCTTAATCCATCAGATAACTACAACATATTTCTTTGATAAGGAAACCGATGATATATTAGCATCAGAAAAACTAAAATATTTAAAAAATTATGAATTTAAATGGATGAATTCAATTGGAAAATTATGTTATTCAATATCAACATTAAACAATTATTTATCATCAACATCAACAAAAAATGAATTTATTAAAGCATTAGATACAGTTGAAGTATATACAAATTATTTATATTTTTTAATTTTTGATGGTACTCTCCTAACATTAAATTATCAATCAACAAAAAAAATAATTGATCTAATTAATTGTTATGAACATATTTTATTATCACTTCCCGAATTTCATCAACAATTATCTATTAAAACTCGTTTATATCATCAACCAACACATTTAAAACGTTATTGGGCATATTATACATTTGGAACTTTAACATCTCTCTATCTAATATATAAATTATATTCAAAACAAAAAGAAATTATCAATCAATTTTATTCAACATTTGATTCATTTAAATTTTTTATGTCTGAACATTTATTTATACCATTAAAAGCTATTTATGAATCAACATTTCATTCAAAATCATCACAAGCAATATTTGAAAATACACAAAAAAATTATCAAAATTCAAAAATAATATTGGAACAAATGATAGAACAATATGGTATAGAACATTCAAAACAATTATCTCATATTGAACATGTTGATATTGATCAATTTCTAACAACTTTACATGAACGAGCAGTCAATGAAGATATGAATGTTGTTATGAAATATTATCAATATGAATTAGATCAACCTATTCGATCAGCATTATTTGGAGATTTAATCAAAGGTAAAATCATTAAATTATTAAATGAATAGAAATAAAAGATAATTTAATTCTAAGAATTATTTTATTATTTTATAGGTATTCTTATTCAAGTACAAAAAGTAAAAGTTGATGGTGAATCATTGGCCATTCAAATTGATCAATTAATGAAACAAAATCAAATTAATTTTAGTTTATTGGCTACTATACCAGCATTTTTATTAATTACATTTTTAACAATTACTACAAAAAATACAATTGTTAATCGAGTAATTAAACGTCGAAAATTTGATTATACTATAATTCTTAAACAAATTATTCGTAAATTACGACATATTGAACAATTATTGATATTTAATACAGAATTATCGACAAAAAATCTACAACAACCATTATCAACTACAATGAATTATAATAATAATTTAATTAATATTGACGAAGAAGATCTTAATAATTCAACTGCCATTGATCAAAGTATAATTATTGTTGATAATACAACAACAAATGACGTATTTCAAATGAATAATTTGACATTTGGTCAATTATTATGTTTGATTTATGAATTAAAATTTTACACAGTACAACTGAGATCAACAAGACTTCTATCGAATGAAATTAATGAAGATGTTAATCTATTAACGAATACAACACTAACAATAAAACAAAAGCTTTTATTAATAAAGCAAATATTTCATTCATACAGTTTCCTATCTAAATAGAATCCTCCGTTTGCATTGATACTTAAATACCCGTTGATATAATTTTTATTCTGTCTATTTCATTACAGTATCAATAACACAAAATCAATACCACTGATAACATCGAGTAGACACAACTTCAATCGTTGTACAGAATATAGACACAGAACAGTGGATTTAGTTTTGCGGTTTCATGCAAAGCTAAGTTTATGTGTTCGAATTCGTACAAAATTGATTTTGTATTTTTCGATAGTTTTAGTTTAGAATACTGTAATGAAATATTTTTCCGCTTGTATTCTGACAGAATAAAAATACCTGTTCTATCCTTTTTATAACCAAAAGTGCTATTTTTTATCTTTGATAATAAAAAAACGGTTTGTTGAACCCTCATTCTACAAACAACGACACTATCAAAAATTAAAGACAAATGATAAATCAACCTGTCACAATAAAAATAAATTTTCTAAGCAAAATTTTTCTGAAGATATTAAATGAACAAATTTCAACAACAAAACAAACAAAACAAAACCTTTCTCGTTCTCTTCTCAGTATCTTAAACTATTCCAAATGAATTTTGAACAGAAGACATGCTTTTATCTGATGAACAAAGTATTTTGTTCATACAATCATGCAGATCAACAGAAGATAAAAACAGTACAGTGTCATATTTATCTGACGATGGTGTATGATAAACACCGAAAGCTCGAAATTTATCAATTTAATTTAGGGAACGTTTCTATTTCTCTATTCCGTTGTTCCCCTATTCCACTGTTCCTCTATTCCCCGACTATATGATATCATGGGCATGAGATAAATCAAAATTGCGTTCTTGCCACTCTAAAAAAATAGAGGCGTAGATATTTCATCATCATACGACAGCGACTATGTTCGTCATTTCTTTCAATCTGATTAAATTTGATAATATAATGACAAATATTTATAAAATCTTGTTCAAACGAGATCAATTTATTATTGAACATTTGTGCTTCCTCTACTATTTTCAAATAATTGTCAATGATTTATTTTCAGCGGAAGATTCTATTGATAAATTCACTGTAGAATAGTGCCACAAATTCATCTCAAAGGAGATTGTGATGAAACAAATAATCGACAGGACACAGAAGAATATTTATTTTTCTTAAATAAAAATTGTGTGACGACGAATGATCACAATAAATTTTCGTGGAATACAATAAAATACCTCTTCTATCTCATTCAAAATTAACATCGAGTCTTTTATCCATATCTAAAATAGTAGTCATTTCGTCACTCAGCAACGTTTAATTCGTTACAATAAATTATTCACTTTATTTCAACAACATAATAAAGATAAATTGAAAATTCTATCAAATAATATCATAACTGCAAATTCGAACCTAACACTATTTGCCTTTTATTCGTAGAGCTATTTTATTGCAAAAGTAGAGTATGCGAAAACAACGCAAAACAAATTAAATATTTATCAACTTTTGAGAACAATATGCGATAGTACCATTTATCTGAGGAAATTATTTTCAGTTTATCGTTATGTATCCTCTAGAGAATTGAAAAAAATTGATGAAAAAGATAAAGTGCTTGAAAAAAGCGAGATGCCTGTTGTACGACAAACGAGTGATCAAAGAATTTTGCACAGAAAAACTTTTTAATTCAATTGTATTCTATGAAAAATCGACAACTTTTGTCGGACTACAATGAGAATGGTATTTGTTTCGTAATATTGATTGAAATCAATTAGCGAACAAACAAAAACAGTGGAATATTCATCTCTAAAATTCACTTTGTTCGACAAATAATTCGGTTAAAAT